GACTTCTACCCACTCTTTTGTCTGTCTAACCGTTTTTCTCTCTCTCTCTCTCTCTGGGCTCCATTTTCACTGATTGTTTACTCCTCCCCTCTCCCCTACCCGACCTTCAGCAGGTGTACCAACCTTTACCCAGATACCATCAGTTCTGAAGAAGAGTCACTGGACCTGAAACATTAACTCTGCTTTCTCTCCACAGATGCTGCCTGAACTAGAATTTTTCCAAAAATTTATGATTTTGTTTCTAATTTCTAGCATCTACAGCTCCTTGGTATTTTATCAGTTTAAATTCTGTCCAATTTAGAAACATAGAAACATAAAACTAGGAACAGGAGTAATTCATTCGGCCCTTCAAGCCTATTATTCAATATGATTGTGACTGGTCCTCTAAATCAATGCCATATTCCTGTTTTCTCTCCATATTCCTTGGTGCCTTTAATATCTAACACAAAATCGCTTCATTGAATATACTCAGTATGCTGAAATCCACAGTCTTCCATGGTAGTGAATTCCACAGATTCATCTTCCTTTCAGTGAAGAAACATTTCCTCATCTCTGGTTCTAGACTCCCTACCAGGGAAAACATCCTCCCTGCATCTAGTTTGTCTAGCCCTGTTGAAATTTTATAAGTTCTAATCCCCTCTCATTCTTCTGAACTTTATTGAATACAGGCCCAGGCAAAGCAATCATTCCTCATACGACAGTCCTGCCATCTTCAGTATTGAACAGAAGAACATAAGAACTAGGAGCAGGAGTAGGCCATCTGGCCCCTCGAGCCTGCCTCGCCATTTAATAAGATCATGGCTGATCTTTTTGAGACTCGGCTCCACTTACCCGCCTGCTCACCATAACCCTTAATTCCTTTACTGTTCAAAAATTTATCTAGCCTTGCCTTAAAAACATTCAGCGAGGTAGCTTCAACCATTTCACTGGGCAGGGAATTCCACAGATTCACAACCCTTTGGGTGAAGAAGTTCCTCCTGACCTCAGTCCTATATCTGCTTCCCTTTATTTTGAGGCGATGCCCTCTAGTCCTAGTTTCACCTGCTGGCGGAAACAACCTCCCTGCCTCCACCTTATCTATTCCCTTCATAATCTTCCATGTTTCTATAAGATCTCCCCTCCACTATTGGCCTAGTGAACCTTCACTGAACTCCCTGTATGGCATTTTATCCTTTCTTAGGTAGGGTAATTGCTCACAATACCCCAGGTGCAATCTTACCAAGGCCCTGGATAACTGCAGTATGACATCCATACTTCTGAATTCAAATCCTCTTGCAAAGAAAGCCAATATACCATTTGTATTCCTAATTGCTGTACTTGCCTGTTTACATTCATTGGCTGGTGTACCAGAATACTCCAATCCCTATGTATATCCACATTTCCCAATATAATCACATTTAAATAATATTCTGTCTTTCTGTTTTTCACACTTAAGTATATAAACTTGCATTTAGTCACTTAATTTCACATTTGCCATATGTTTGCCCACTCAGTCAACTGGATCACCCTGAAGCCTCCATGCCTCCTCCTCACAACTCAAAATCCCATCCAGTTTTGTGTTGTCAGCAAACTTGGAAATATTGCATTTGGTTCCTTTATCCAGGTCATTTATGTACATCATGTATAGCCTCAGCACTGATCTCTGCAGCATACCACTAATCATCGCCATTTATTCCCCACTTTCTGTTTCCAGTCTGTCAACTAATTCTTAATTCATGCTTGTATATTACCCCAATCCTGTGTGTATTAATTTTGCCCACTAACCTCTCAAACTGGGCCTTATTAAAAGCCTTCTTGAAATCCAAATACACCACATCCACTGGTTCTCCCATATCTATTACACTAGGTAGATTATCAAAAACACTCCAGCAGTTTAGTTAAACAAGACTTCCCATTTATAAAGCCATGCTGATTTTGTCTAATCCCATTAATGCTTTCCAAGTGTTCCGTTATCACATTTTATATGGTAGACTATCATTATCCCCATGATTAATGTTAGATTAATTAGTTTGTCGTTCTCTGTTTCTTGCTCTTCTTCCTTGTTTAAAGTGTGGTTACATTTGCCATTCTCCAATCTGTAGGAACTGCTCTCCAGAATCTACAGAATTTTAGAAGATGAGCATCAATGCATTTAGGCCCATCTTTGTACTCCGGGATGCAGACTCTCAGGCCCTGTGATTTGTTAGCCTTCAACACCATTAATTTTTCATTTCAGATTATAGGGACTTTACAATTCTAATTTTTCTAACAGTTTTTTTTTTACTAACGTTCATTTTCATGGAAAAGTACTGATTCATCAGCTAAAGGGTTGGGTGATGATGGGTGGAAATCAGCAGGTGTTTTTGATCAAGATTGACTGATGCTATTAGCCTTCTTGTATCCAAAGGCAATTTTGAGAACAGCTAGTGAAATTCCTTTCCAGCAGTTTATTCTACAGTGTATATCTTCCCTTTCAACTCCAGTTTGATTCAGCCGTCTCCCTGCCTCTCCCTTCCCTTTAACGGTCTGCATTGCACTTAACAGGCTTTGCATGTAAATAAATCAATCAAAAAACATGGGTGATTGGTGGTGGTTAATAAATGAAAAAATACCACAGGTGATGTGGTGAGGGGAGGACAAAACTGTTCAGTTGTGTGTAGAAGCACTTCTGGATATAAAAAAAAGACAAAGAATGCATCAGAGTGTAACTGCACCTGGAGGTAAGTGATCAACTTCCAACCTGTGGTTTCCTCATTTTACAATCTGCTATCCTTCACTCTGCTCTCCCACTATGTCTCCCATAATCCCTATCTTTTCCTACTCTCTCTCCCCCTTCCTTTCTGCTCAGTCTTTTTCAAACACCTCCTTTCCTTCTCTGTCCATTGATCTCCCTCTGTCCCATAATATCATTCTGCCTCACTGTCCCGTTTTTCTGTTTCTCCCACATTCCTTACATCCCTCTCCCCATTCCCTTTCTTTCTCACCACTCCCCCCACCTCTATACTCCTAGCCCCTCTCACTTATCCTTTCCACTGTCTGCTTTACTGTCCCACCTTTAACTTAAAAAAAATCCATGATGTTTTGCACTCCATATATTTCCAGCACCCCATTACCCCACCAGCAAGTATTTTGCATTGAAATAAAAAGGACTCAACTGTCTTTTCTCGGAGAGACCTAAACACAATTTGATAAAAGGCAAATTTTCTGAAGAAGGGTCTAGACCCGAAACGTCAGCTTTCCTGCTCCTCTGATGCTGCTTGGCCTGCTGTGTTCACCAGCTCTACACCTTGTTATCTCAGATTCTCCAGCACCTACAGTTCCTACTATCCCTTGGTAAAAGACAATACTTTTTTTCAAATCTCTGAGCAAGAATTGCCATTCTCCCTGTGCAAGGTTCTAAATGAGCTCACCCCAGGACCTCCAGTTGGCCAGTTGGCGTGTCTTGACTGAATAGCCAAAGGATGGTGCTGTAAGGCTGACCAATCAGGATTGTGAAACAATCAACCTCAAAAGTTTTTGGAGAGCCCCAGCAACTTGACTCATATTGTGCTACTTGATACACCTTGCACAGTACAATCTGCCTGTACAGCACGCAAAATAACACTTTTCACTGTATCTCGTACATGTGACAACAAAACAGCTCAAGCCAAGCTGGGGAAGATGGTGGTGTAGTGGTAATGTTACTGGGTTTGTTAGCATGGGGGTCATGGGTGTGAATCCCACTGTGGCAGCTGGTGAAATTTGAATTCAATATGGGGAGGGGAGGGTCTTCCTGAAAGCTTTCTATTTCCAGACTCTGCCGTAGACTTACTGTGCGCCCTGCGGGCTCTAGGTTGGACACCCCTAGATTAAAACTACCACAGCCACCCCCAATTCTGCTTTCTATTTCAGAGTTTTAATGCTCCTGTGCACATCGCCCCTTACACTGAGCAGTCCCTTAGTGCATCCAAATTAACAAAACTGGCAACTTTCTATCTACATTTAATCCACGTGCCTAGCAACGTGCAAGGCAAACGACAGAAACAGCACTTCACCCGGATTATTTAAATTTATTCGGTTAAAATAAAATTGAATTCTCGAGTCCCCCTCCCATGTGCAAAACAAATGTAAAAGGTGAAGAATTAAAAATAGTCGCGAATACGAATCACTGCTTCGACATGTCACCATTACAAATGGGTAATTTTGCTTCTTTAGCAGATATCCGAACCTTCCTTTAGACTGTGCAAACGGCAGTCAAATTCGCATCAGATTTCTGAGAGAAGTGTTCAGCGGGTGTTCATTCTGAAAGGGTTAACTCTGACTGCTTATCGGTTACGACGCTGTGCCCAAAGGAGATGTGTAATCAACTTTAGTGGATAGCAGACCACTAACTGAACAATTAAAATTATTAACGAAAAAAATCAAAATTACTAATTTATGACGTTGAATCATAATTCAAAATACGGCATGGATATTTGCAAAATGCGATAGTATATCGCGCTCGCCTATGACAAAAAACTGATCTGTTTAAATAATTTTGGGAATGTATTAATAGAGGGTTTTGTTTATTCTTCCAACTATTAAATCTTCACTTCATATCTTTGACCAAAACAAATCAATAAAAAAACTCTTCGTTTTCTGATGCATCTACATTCAGAAACCAGGTAAGTGAAAACTCTTTAAGTCCAGATCCTACCTCTGGCGTCTTACAACAGACGCTTTGTATAGCGAGAGTCCACCATTGCCCAAAAGGTGATCAAGGCTTCATCACAATCGTTCAGTCTGCCGACCTCCCCCTAGTGTGCAGCTGGCAGCCTGCAGCCTGGGGATGTTGTATTGCTGGACGGAAAGGCTTTTGTGAAGGTATTGGGACTTGCATTTTTACAGATGGCAAGGGGCTGCACAGCAAAACTAGCTAGCTGCTTGCTGGAGAGGTGGAACAGTCTGCAAGGGGCGTCAGCAGCTTGGAATAAAGAAGTTCAGGGGATCAGACAGCCTCCTGCTCGATAATTGCCCGGGAGGAATATTTGCAAGCATTACAGATGTAAAATTTCAAACGTTCGGCGGTGCTGAAACGGTGATCGTCTCCCTAGCCCCACCCGGAAAGGGGGAAGAAAAAGACGTGCCTTCGGCTTTCAATTTATATAACTTGCAGAAAATTTCAGCTTCTTCATTCTGTTAGAGGCAGAACATTGAATAGTGCCAGCCATCAAGCTCTACTTTGAAACAGACTACTGTGGTGCAATTGCTGACCCAGTATTTAAGGATTTAAGATGTAACTGTAATCATTTGTAATGTGTTAATTTACAAGTTTACGTATCAATATGTATTGCCATTCGAAAGCCACATTGTGATTATATCTTAATATTGTTTTCCCCTAGGTCTGGCTGTAGCATGGATACTGACACAGCCTGCGGCTTCGGCAGCTTTAAACAGTACAAATATTTTAATGACTCCGTTGATGAAAATTATACGATTCTACTTGATCGCTGGTCCGAAAATGTTACCGACTTCCTTATGGAACGGTCAAACACGTTCAGAATTACCATCATCGTTGTATATCTGTTTGTTTGTATAGTGGGACTAGTGGGCAACTGTCTGGTAATGTACGTTATCGTCAGGTAAGGTTTAGCATTTTCGTGTTAATATTGTTTCATGTGTATTTTATTTAAGGAAAAGAAAAGTTTATAAAGCTAAAAGGCAACTTAATGTTGTGGTTACTGCCTTAGAGCGCCCTCCCGAGGGAACAGGGCGCACTAAATTTAAATGATTATAAATCCATAACTCCTTAATGTCTTATTATTAAGTATCGTGCGATACAGAATATAAACAGTTTACAGATACCGAATATACTACTGAACTTGCGATCAGATCTACAAGTTGATAACGCCTTGTAAAGTATAAGCGTTTTGATTTATTGGGACTCGAATTGACATTAAAAATAAATTTTATCAATATATGCATTTTTCGAATGTAAGATTTTTCAATGAATCCATTGTAGTAGTGGCCGTTTCTTCAAAGATTTTTAAGCTAGTCACTGAGCCTAGAGTCTTTCGATAATGATAGGGGAAATATGCAATTTCTGTAAGCTAAGCAATTTAGCTTTTTTTCTAGAATGAGCTTGTTAATCACTTTAATTGGGGCTTTGAGTAGTACCGCAAAGATCTGAAACCTTTAGACTAAGGAAGCAATCCACTACATTTATTTTCCAAAATAAAACAGGCCTTTACTGCGTTTGGCCAGTCAGTAGTAATGGAGTAAATCATAATTGAAGTGGAATATCACTTCACTTATGTCACTTATGTAGGGAAGGGGACAAATAAAAGCATTTCACATTTTATTAGTCTGATTATAAACTTTTAAGCTATTTATACATCAAATATAATGATACTCTGAACACGTTTGTTGTTATTTTTAAGGTTGCACGTGTGTTGCAAGCAATGGACTGTCAACATTTACTGAGCATTGGATAAACGTTACTAAATTGTATTTTACACTGGTTTCTTTTTCTCACATCCCACACACAACAATCTGCCTGACTGTGATTTTTCTTCATTTTGTTTGGTGTGGAGATTAGAATCCAATAACATACCCCACATGCTACAGACACTTTCTCTTGGACAATTCCTCACCCGACAAAGAGCCGATTACATCTGTCTCTGGTCAGTGGTGTATCTACCCTAAAGTTATTTTGAAATTTAGTTATGATAATACCATGTGTTGCCGTGCAATTTTTATTCTTTTTCCATTATAAAACTGGCATTTTCTCCTCCTCCGTTGTGAGGGATGAGTCCATTATTTTTATATTCACTTAAATGTAAACTATCATGGGAAGTAATCGAAGGGCAGCGAGGCCAAGTCATCTTGTTGCTCAATGCTAACAGCTAAGCATGCTCCTAAAAGGAACTGCTGTTTTTTACTGGCTGTTCATTTGTCCTTCTTGTCTTCACCTCCCCACTCGCCTTTTGTAAATTTCTTGGGAAGGACTAAATGTTACTAGGTTATTGAAACCAGGTGAAGTTTTAAATAGGACGCAAAATGACTGAGATGAGGATAATTTCTTTCCTCCCCCATACCTAGATTTTGTAACCCATTCTCAGCAGCATTTTAATTTGTGCAGGTTATCTGTGAAAATTTAGATTTGCTGGAGCCAAGGGCGTAGGTAGCACATTTACAGTAGTACACAGCCCTTCCATCTGTTCCTTACACTTCCAGCTCACTGATGTGCATTTCTGGCATGTTGGGAAGGGAAATGCCTCTCTGGATTGTTCGTACTTAATTGGAAACACATTTCAAGCGTGTCTTTCTTTCTCAGATGATTTTAAATGTGAAGACACATTAAACATTATATTTGGATTTAATCTACATTCAGCAGGTATCACTGTCCTGAAAATATTCTTCAATTGTAACTTTTCACTGTTTGCATAGCGACTGCTTTCCTGTCTTCTCTTCATCATCTGGAAGTATGACAATCATTGCCACTGTCCCTGAAATGGATACATTTCTGTCAGTCCTTCATGGATATGCTCTATCCCTTAATTTCACTGAAACATTTTTTTTCTCCTTTCAAGCAGGAACTGTCATCTTCCTTCATTAAACCATTTTCTTTGCCCTCCCCCTTTCATACGCACTTTCTTCTCTTTTCAAAGACACACTCATATAACTTCACAATGATCCATCCTCTCCTTTCACAGAGGTACAGCCTACAGTCTACACAGAGACAATTTTCCCTATCACTAAGATACTTCCTTCTTCCAGGTGCAATCTTCCTTCTTCATAAATGTACTTTGGTCACTTTATTTATACATCCATTCCTCTTCAAGTGGATGTCTCCCATTTGGGTATTCGTAGCAATGTTTTCCTTGTACTCTGTCACAGAGACAGTGTCTGACCTATTATAGAGATACACTCGCTGTATTTTCTTCACAAGCTTGTCCTACAACTGGGCTTTGTGAAAATGGTACACATTTGCTTGCTGTGCCTAAACTGCGCTGACACAAGTGGCCCTTGTCCCAAAACAATTGATAAGGCAGTCAGATCATACTTCGTAAAATGTTCTTTAACTGCTGCTTAAGTGATAGAAGAAGCCTTACTTGAGCAGCAACCTGCAAATCTTTGGTACTGTTGTTGAGTAGCACCAAATTGAAAATGTGGAACGTATGAAGTGAAGAGGTTTGCCTTTGTAATGGCACTTTGGATTTAGTTTTTAGCAGATTCCAAAGTGCTTTTGAAAGTGTGATTTCTGTAATGTAGTCAAATATAACATTCATTTGTCCTCTCCAAAGATTCTCACAGAGTTAATGAGACATGTCACTTGCTAATCTACTTTTAGAAGTGTATGGGTTGGGGAAGAGTATGCTGCAGGACATCCTATTCCTTGAGTAGTACGATGACATTTTTTACATCCAGCCGAACAGGCAGATGGAGATCTTTCAGATGATGGCCCTGTTGTTGCATAAACCCTTTAGAGTTATAGAGTCATGGAGTAATGCAGCATGGAAACAAGCCCTTTGGCCCAAACTGGTCCGTGCTGACCATGGTGCCACTCAGCTAGTTCCAATAGCCTGCATTTGGTCCATATCCCTCTAAACCCTTCCTGTCCATGTACCTATCCAAATGTTTTTTAAATGTTGCTATTGTACCTGCCTCAACCACTTTCTCTGGCAGCCTATTCCATATATGCATGAAGTTGCTGCCCCTTAGATCCTTCTTATATCTTTTCCCTCTGACCTTAACCCTTTGCCCGCTAATTTTCAATTCGTCATCCCTGGGAAAAAGACTACATGCATTCATCCTATCTATGCCCCTCATGATTTTATACACCTCAATAAGGTCACCCCTCAATCTCCTACGTTCCAAGGAATAAGGACGTATCCTGGCCAACCCCTCCCTATAACTCAGGCCTACTAGTCCTGGTAACATCCTCATAAATCCTCTTTGCACACTTTCCAGTTTAATTATTTCTTTCCTATAACAGGGTGACCAAAACTGTACTCAATACTCTAAGTGTGGCCTCACTAATGACTTATGCAATTGTAACATAACGTCCCAACTCGTACACTCAATGCCTCGACCAATAAAGGCCAGCATGCTAAATGCCTTCTTCACTACCCTGTCTACTTGTGATGCCGCTTTCACTGAACTATATTAAATCCTATCTTAGTTTGATATTCTAAAGTGCAACACTTCACACACTTATCTGTATTGAATTGCATTTGCCAATCTTAAGCCCACTTCCCCGTCTGATCAAGATCCTGCTGCAATTTTTGATAAGTTCCTTGCTATCAACTATGCCTCCTAAGTTTGTATCATCTGCAAACTTACTATTCATGCCTTGTACATTCACATCCAGATCATTTATGTAAATAACAAGTAACAGAAGTTCCAGCACCAACCCCTGTGGCACACCAGTAGTCACAAGCCTCCAGTCCAAGAAACAACCTTCGTCTATCACCCTTGGCTTCCTTCCATTGAGCCAGTTTTGAATCTAGTTAGCTAGCTCTCCCTGGATCCCATGCGATCTAACCTTCCTGACTAGCCTGCTGTTCAGGACCTTGTCAAAGGCCTTACTAAAGTCCATATAAGCAACATCCACTGCCCTACCATCATCTATCCTCATGGTTACCTCTTTGAAAAACTCTAAAAGATTTGTCAGACATGACTTCCCGTGCACAAATCCATAATGACAGGACATCCACTTTGTGTAAATAATAAAAGTTCAACTCAACTGGATGCAGTGTGCTTTCCATTTAGTATGCCTTATCACTTGTTTGAATTTGCCTATCAACAAATGATTGGACCAGATCAGTAATGTTTATATACTATGAGGAATAAACCAGATCAGAATCCTTAATTAGAATGATGATATAGGTATGTTACACTTGACAATGTTAGAGGGAAAATGCATTTCAGTTCATCCTTTGACATCAGGAATGATTAAAAAATGATAAAATGTGTAATTACTATGCTTGACCTTAACCATGAGTACTAAAAAAACTTGCATTTTAGTAATTGCTTCTGAAATCTTGCAAAACAATACACAACATTGTAAGCAAGGAATACACAATTAGGCATGTATTTCTGCATATAGTGTGCCTGTAAACATTTAAAAAATATGCCTTAGTGTCATTGCGTAGATCATACAAGAACTGTACCATCGGGCAATTTTTCTTGTGTACGTTAGGCTCTAAAGAGCCTGCAAGGTAGTTAAAGATGCCTTCAACTGCACCACTGCTTTAACCTATGTTTACTGCAAGACCTCATTATAGTAAACAAGTTGAAATGCTTCCTAGGAATGGTTTCCCAGCAGCTTATTAAGGAATGGATTGAAATTTACGTTGCCCACGAGCATTTGTTAAGGAGGCTGCAAATTATTTTAGTGCATCATGCTTGATTTAGCACTCTTCACTAAGAGCAGCCAGCTAACAGACCATTGTTGAGAATTTTGAGCACTGTATTTAATGGCATGTTCAGCTTTCAATATTTACTTTCTGCTAGAGACTGACTGACTCCACTATGTTTGAAGCAAGTTTTGAGACACCACAGGAATTACCTGGAACACTTTATTAAACCTTCACCAATGGCCTATCAACAGCTTTCCTAGAAATGATCTCTGCACTTA